CAAGTTCACACAACAGGAAACCACATGACAACGAGGGCCTCTAACCAGCCGCGGCTGACAGAACTGGTTTAGGCAGTGTAGTGTGGGACTGTACTGTATGTACACACACAGTCATATGAGAGCAGAGAGTTGGTGGAGGGGGGGCTATAACAGAGACACAGAGAGACAGCTTTAACACCAAATCTTCACCAGGAGAAGAAAGTGTGAAATGGAACGAATCTGCCTGAAAACATTTAGCCTTGAATAAATTGTACAGATTCCATGCCTGTCTTTGAAAGAATGATGAACGTTGAGAAACCCGTGGGATAGGGGATTCATTAAAAGCACTGGAAAATCTGCTGATAAGAATGGGTTGTGAGCTAGTATTTTTGTAAACAAAATATAGAGCAGAGATTTTGACTGAAATTTATCTGCAGTGAAAGAGTTCCTTATGTTTTATTTTCTGCATAGATGTTTTATTATCGGGGCTGTCGATTGATTAAAATTCTTATTGCCAATTTATCGTACAATTGTCCACAGTTCATTCATAACTAATTATTCACAGAGTTTTTTTTATCTGTGCTAAATATAATAATGCAATATAATGCAACATGGGAGTTGACAAATATGTTCGCCCTAAAAAGAATTCAAAACCAGGACAGATATAAACTTAGAGGTATTAAAAATGGTGGAGTTTGTATGTGTCTTTATTTTCTGTGTTCTTTTGGAGTTCATAGGGTTGGAATTGAGCACTTATTTTTAGGAAAGTATCAATAGTGTTATTTTTTAGATATGTCATCAACATGTTTGGGTCACTTGCCTCTTCAGCTAATTTATGTACTTGGCAGGACACGGTTTGTTGTATTTAATTATTGGTATTTAAAGCAGTTGGCTTTAACTCATACATACTGTGTAGTTTTTGGTAGCCCTAGTTATAAAGAATATTCATTTACACAAACAACTGAAGGTAAAAGTCACAATAAAGCCTTATTTAGCCTTTGGTTGTACTCCAGTCTGGCAGAGGCTTGACAACAAGAAAACGGGGAAGTATTCGTTCTCAGATCAAGGTCTTTGTCTAATAGGCTTTGACAAATGCCAATCCCATTAAACAGTCTCCGCAGGTGTGACATTTTAAGCACAACAAAAACACACTATGGTCCAGCAGTGAAAGCAATAGACCAGCACCAGAAGGCATGTAAATTATACAAAAACCAGGTTAAAAATACAGATATATCATTTCATTGCTTTGCAACACCAGTAAAATAAGTTTTAAGTTAGTTTAAAACTACTAATCAGAAACTGTGACAAATCATTACTATCCATTAGGATCTTTTTAAATTACAGCAGCCCCAATGAGCACGACTCTCAGGCTTATCATGGGTAAGCAGGGGAATAGCATCGAATAAAATGACAGATGAAGAGAGAAGAGATTTCAGCCGTGGTGTCAGTTGCGTTTAAGGGTTTTCCTGACACCAGTGTGTGGAGTTTAGAACATCAGCTTCAAACTGCTGTGGTAATGACAGACTGGTGCACCACTGAATATTCATCACTGTGAACAGAAATAAAGAATACAAAGATGTTTTTGGGCTCTAATCTCAAAGCTATAAAACAGAACCTTCTACAACAGTGACTTTAATATAAGGAGTAAAACCATCAGTCTTTGTTGTGGACGTATCTAAAAATCTCTATGTTTTCACATAATGACTAAAGGACAGTGGTGCAACAACATTTTCGATCATCATATTGATGCAAAAATGTATATAAATGTATAATAGTAATGTGTACAATAGCAGAGGATGCTAGTATTAGTCATTTGTGATAGTAACAGAGCTCAGTGTAGATGAGTTATCATATGAACTTCCAAGCTCTGTGAGATTTGATTTTTTTTCTTTGCAAATTAAGCACAAAATCAAATTTTCACAGTGAGAAAACACAAGCAAAGAGGCTTCAACTGCTACCAGGATTAATGGACAACATTAGTCCTCTTTATCTGATAGGACATTTTTTACGATTTTTTATGATTCAATTTGTGAGAAATTTTCAAGATTAACATTTAACAACAACAATGGCAGAGGTCACAAACTGGAATTTTTCTTTACTTTATAGAAACAATATGTTTAACATTAAAGGAGCTCCTTGGTGTGAAAACACAATAAGATTAGATTCTTAGGACACCACTGAACATCTTGTATTTAATATCTTTTTTATGTAGCAGAAATTATTGTACACAAAAAAGCTAAAGCTATGCAACGGCTAGCATTGGTTCAACCAAAATGAAGAACCATCTGCAACCATAAGTGCTAAAATTCCCAATCCACTTTTTCCAAGCTAATGACAAAGCTGGGCTAGAACAGAGAAAATGTATGAATAATAATAAATTATGCAAAAAGACCGTGAGTTGAAAAGAGTTGATAACTAAACAGAGCAGAACAGGAAGTGACACAATATGTTGCAGCAGAATGTCAAATATGGCTCTCCCTTGCACTTCCTCTGAAGAGCACTGCAGTTGAAACTTAACCCTGACAGTCTCAGTTTTTCTGTCATGTCTTCTTATGTGTCAAACAAAGACATTTTGGATATGATTTCTAAAAGTGACCAAACCATTATATTTTTCAGTGCATCAAGTTACTGCAATACCTATAAATTACAAACAAGAGTGAACTTAGAGTTTACTTAGCCAAAGACAACGGTCATGCATATATGTGCATATATGGTAAGCATTGTGTGAGAACCTCAAGTAGGACTGTAAATCATACTTAATGTCTTCACCAGCACATCTCCGAAAGACTACCCAGAGCGACCCCCTGGACTCTGTGCTAGCCGATTCATATGTGAAAATGATTTGTTATGCTCCCTGAATTACTTTGTCATGACACAGGTCCAGTGAAACCATCTGAACATCATTATCTGAAAATATGTCCATTCCACTGATGGGAAAAACTGAATGATGTCATATACTGACTCCAGCAGCTGATCTCATTTTTGGGAAAATGTGTTGCTTTTAAGAGACCTGACTAAGTGAAGCAACTCCATCTCCAACAACCTTTGTCCGATATCCACAAACTCTCTTCAACATATGTCCAAACCACCTCAATCTAACCTCTTTAACTACATGTCCAAACTACACTATCCTAACAGTCCCTCTGATCTGCTCATTCACAATACTGTCCATCTTGGTCACTCTCAATGAAAAACTCAATGTAGGCACTAGGACATAATAGATTTACAATTATTTATAATGTGGCTATTCTTAACAGGGTGATCTATCCCAACCCTATGCATGACCAGAATTGACTTTAGTGTGGATAATGGCTAGCATTACTGCCATATTAATTATAAATAATGTGTTGGACAGATTTTAACCTACATGTTCTGTATACAAGAAATATTGCTCAGATATTGTGGTATTTTTTCTTGTATTTCAAAAACTAGTGAATTTGCAATTTTAAAGCACTGGAACATAATTTAAATACTTTGTCTTCAGAGAGTTTGGGTTTAAAAAGTGTCATCCCAGCTGTAGTTAATGTTAAACAACATGTACAGAGTTTCAACAGAGTTACTGGCTACAGAGTAACTGAATTCTAAAATAGAACCTTTGCAAAATAAGGAAGAACAATGTGAACTATTATTGTGCAACAAAGGAAATTTGTGATATTTTGTCATTTCTCTTTTTATTCAAACCAATGATGTCAAGAATACCATAATACTGTTCCTGAGCTTGAATGATTGGTTAGGTTGCATCAGTCTGGTGTGAAACTGTGCCAACAATATTATGCAGTTAAGTATCAAAACAACTACTGTTAAAGGGAAGGGCCAAAGGTGATTCTCCTAGCACATTTTTATTTGCACTGGCTCCAAAAAGGGATGCAAAGTTAAATGTAATGACTGCAGGTTATGGCCTTTATATAACTAGCCAATGGATTGCTCCTGGTTTGTTTGGATCCTGATGCTGCTTTCAGGTAAGCAGTAAGTCCAACACTTTAAACACACTGGTATTTCCTGACACTGCAAACCAGGACTAGCAGAACCAACAAACACAATCCTGAGCATGTTCAATGTAATTGTGACTGGGATTAAACGGGAGTCATGAAGACATTTGCACACAGTCTGGAGCCTCTGACCTACTGTCACCTGGCCCTTTACTATGCTGAGGTCAGTGCAGGGTTGGGACCCAGGCTGCACTGGTGTCTGTTCAGACCTGTAGGGCTGACTAGTGGAGCCCATCCCCCCCAATGTGACTCATGTTTCCCTGCTTGTTTCCCGCACAGAAGGGGGCGGGAAAGGCAAAAGAAGCGCCATCATAATGTTGTTATACATGCAGCAAACATATGCAACAATGCATCCACGTGTTGACGTGTACTGCATTAAAACAACACGTCTGGCCACTGTGTGAAAAGTCGACAGCGCTCTAGAAACTCCTAAGAATGTAGTGATGCTTATGTTGACAAGACCAGGACGTTCGTGTGCATCATCTGTAGCGGGTGTGTAATCAAATAAAACAGCAACAGGCTGAGAATAACAAATATTTGAGGAGGTGACAAAAGTCAGCAAATCTACAGCAATGAATGGCAGGGCAGCAGACACTGTGTGGACAACCACCATCATAATAGTTCTGTGTAAATGAGCCAGAGAAGGTGATGCTCTGGAACCTGTCGTGCAAAAAACACCATGAAAACACGTCACACAGCATGGCTTTTTATTTGTTGACAAGGCACACTTTAGCTCGGGATGGAAATTTGTGTCCAAACATCCTGGTGCTGAGACGACAACACTCGCCCTTCTGACAACTGTTCGAGCAGAATCTTTTCTTTTCCCAGTATGGAGCTAGCTCACAGGCTAACAGCCCCGCTAGGCTACAATAATGTGAGTGAGGAGGAGAGAAAGCACATTCACCTCCGTTAGCCGCTAGCGCCCATCCCCCAACCAGGCAGCCTTTCCTTCTACCGCGTCCACCATCTTTAATCTGTGCCTGCGTCTGCCTTCCCGCCGCTCTAAACAGCATAAAAACACCGGACACTCACCTTTAACCACCATCGCCGACACGGTTATCACCTTCCCCGATGATAAATCGATTTTTTATATAAAACCGTGTGTATTTTAATATTGAAAATTGGCCGTAGGAGCGGAACCGCGCCTTGAGAGAAGAGCAGCAATCCTAAACCGCCATCTGGTGGTATTTTCCTCGCTGTGATGCAGCGGGAGCGGCGCAGCCCCACACCGGGACACAGCTGCCCCCTGGCGGACACACTGCATCAAGGCCGGAAACGCGCCTCAAAGCCAGGGTGGGACTCACGGGGACGCGCACAAAACCAGAAGACTCCCCATTATATGTTTATTAATAATTATCTAAGTGCACATTCACTTTATCTGTACTCGCTAACTGTAAATGATTCTGGAGTGAAAATAGTAAGGCTGATATCAAGAGTGTCATTTTTGTCCCTTATTTTGTCTACATTTTTAAATGAATAATATTAAATTGTATTACTTCAGAATTCTTAACTGAATTAAAAGAATAATTAAAGAAAAAAACTTCTAACTCCTAAAGTCTAACCAAAGGGCCAGTATGGGAAATGTGGACCCTCACAATTGTGTGTGAATCCAATTGTGTTTACAATTATAAAATAGATATTTAGTTCAAATTAATTTTTAATTTTATTTTTTTATTATTGGTACATTCTAGATGTATTTCAGGGTCAGGGGATTCTATTCTTCAATCTAAAGTTAGATTACAACATTAGATTTTAAGGTGTTGATTTTGCTAATGATGATGATGATTTTAAAAATTATTATTTTAATTTTAGTTTCTTTATAGACCTCTGAGAATAAAAATTTCAGTTTCTTTATAGACCTCTGAGAATAAAAAAACACAATTTATTTCTGTGATTAACAATAATTATAAATTTTTTTTTTTATTATTACTCCTTCTTATATTGATATAAAGTATTGAACAGTATACAGTATTTAGACTATTAACATACTATATGTTGTCAGATAAGATTATGTTTAAAGTTTAGCATAACTGAAAAAATATTTCAAACATTTATTTTCTATTTATTTTAATTTATCACCTATTGACCTATTGTATTATTGTTTTCGTACATATCAGCCTTCATTTGTGTTTTAATTATATTATAATGGCACAGTTTCCTATTCCAATGTAATACACTTTGGTTTGTTTATACCCATTGTCATGTGATGTAGTGTTACTCTTCATCATAGTCAGGAAATTAAAATATTATTTTTTCCTCATATTACGACTTTAAACTGCTTTTTTCATTAACTTATTGTTGTTGATTTTGCATATTTGTCCAATAGGTTTTGCAGAAAAACACAAAAGAAATTGACGTTAATACCTGCTTTAAAATTAAACGACTTCTAAGGCAACAAACTACTAATTATTTCTACACTTTTAAAATATTCACCAGGTTCTATTACAAGTACAGTAGTCTTATGTGACAGTAAAGGAGATAAAGTCCTAACTTCCAGCATGTGACTCTTAAAAAACAAAAACATTTAACATTTAATTTGCTTTCCGCCTCTCTTTCATCCTCTGCTTCTTTGCCTATGATGGAGTAAGATGCTGAGAGAGTTTCTGTTTCCAGAA